CAAAATCCAAACAGAACAATTTATATACTACAATGGGAATATCAATGGACGATAAAATATTCAATTTACTGTTAATATTATACTTAGAGAAGACAAATACAGAACATCTTGCTGTATATATTGTTTCATTGCTGTCAGCCTTACAGGTAGACGAGACCAAAAAACAGATGCTGTGTGGACCTAAAACTACTTTGATTCAGATTTACCATAGTACAGAATCTTAGGTCTGCACATTTCCCCTTTCCTCTTTTATGTATCATGGGAAGGGCGGCATGTGCCTGTCCGAGATGTTCTTGTAACCTTTCCTCTCATCTGAGTTTAAGCAATGTTTATCTACATATTACCCTGGTAACAAATCTTCCTCTCTCCATAAAAGTCACCCTCTTTATTTTCCACAACTGCTGATTGTCAAAATGGACAATTCATATTCCAGTTGGAAACACAATAATTAGGCCAGATCATTATTAAAGGTAAAGGTTCCCCCGCACATGGGTGCTAGTCGTTTCCGGCTCTAAAGGGGGTGCTCATCTCCATTTCTAAGCCAAGGAGCCAGCGCTGTCTGAAGAAATCTCCGTGGTCATGTGGCCGGCATGACTAAATGCCGAAGACACACGGAGTACTGTACCTTCCCACCAAAGGTGGTCCCTATTTTTCTACTTGCATTTTTTTACCTGCTTTCGAACTGCCAGGTTGGCAGAAGATTGGAAAAGTATCAGCTCACTCCGTTACGCGACGCTAGGGATTTGAACCGCTGAACTGCCGACCTGATCGACAAGCTCAGTGTCTTACCCACTGAGCCACCACAGAAATAAGGAAGTTACTTATTTGCAAATTCAAATTTAATTTTGCATGTATGTGTTTACATTTCTTTCAACTTGATTTTTAATGTCAATTCCCAATTTGCTTTATTTACACATAGGAGTTTATTCTCTACCATTTTGCTGTCGTAAAATGACCTTTTTTAGCCATAAAAATATACATTGTGCAACTCCTTCCCTGTTATTAGGCCTACCTTATTAATGATTTATTCTGACTGATAAGTCTTATTATATTGCCTTATGCTAATAACTAGAAACTGACTTGATCAAGAATGTTTCTAAAATGCCAAACTGATTTGAAAAACTACCTGATAAGTAAAACATTATCCCAAAATAAAAGAAAAACCAACTGGTAAAGAACTTAAAAAATAAGAAACAAATGACAAAAAACTAAGTAAGAATTTGTTCAAAAGAAAGTTGTAAACAGATCATGTATTTGGAATATTAGGACTTTTGCTAAGATTTTTGAAGAATTGAGTAAAGAAAATAATTGTTCCACAGGAACATAAATTGTTTAGTCTATCAGGAAAGACATTACTGGCTGAAAGTTGAAAACAAAGCAACAAAGAAACTGAGACTTTTTGAATATAGAATTATGCCACTAGAGGGGACTCAAGTTCCAGGCAGGAAAAGGAAAAGCGAAATTTGTAAAATGACAGATAAAAGTATGGCAATTCAAAGGTTTTTGAAGAATTGGGACAAAAAAATTATAACTAATCTGCCAGCAATAATCTCTGCACCTGTAAATGTATTTTTTAAAGAAGAGATGAAAAATGTGAGTAATGACAATGTGGAAAAATTTATGGAAAACAGGATGGTATCCAATGCCATAGACAGCAAAACAAAACAAAAACAAAAAAAACCCCACCAAATAGATCTGTGATGGCAAACCTATGGCACAGAAAACCATCACTCCAGGAACGCCAGCCGTCAGCCATTGCTCTTCCAGGTTCCGGTGTGCATGTGCACTGGCCAGCTGGTATTTGCGCGCGTGGAAACACAGGAAACCAGAAGAGCAGCTCCCTGGCAAACAGGCAGGCGCCAAGAAGCTGAGCTTCCTGTTTCAGCGCATGCATGCGCACATACCAGCTGGTCTTCACACACATGCGCGCCAGAAACTGGAAGACCAGGTGACTGGCGCGCATATGCATGCTGGAAACTGGAAGTTCAGCTTCCCGGCCTGGGCATGTATACCAGGTAACTGCTCTTTTGATTTCCGGCGCTCCCACCTGCACCCATGCTTTTTAAAAAGTTTTTCTGTCCTTTTTTTTACTTTTTTCTGCTATTATTTTTATAAGAATGTTTTTTCAAATATTTAATAAAAGGAAAAGAAAAAAGTGGGTTCTAAGCACTTAGAAAGGAACAGGAATTACTGGAAGATAAAAAAGTTTATACTAGACACTTTTTTTTTTGACAAGTGACTAGAAGACCAAGGAACTTCTATTAGATGCATGTAGTATACCTAGATTTCAGTGGAGGCATTTAATAAATTTGACCACTTACTTGATAAAAGAGAACAATGAGGAATGGATTCTGTTAATGGGCAGGTTTGCAGTTGATTGTAACAGTCATATCCACTGGCCCTTAATGCATCTAGGTGTGCATAGAGGGTGGGAGAGAGGAGGCACACACCTCAGGATATTGTTCTAAGTGAACTGTTCTCTTCAACATTTTCATAAATGATTTAGATGAGGGAAAAGAAAAAATGCTTAACAAAAATGCAGGTGATAATTGTGAATGCAGAATAGATTTAACCTGTAATCCCGAAGACAATTAGACTTTGTTTTTCCTTGAAGATGTTTCACTTCTCATCCAAGAAGCTTCTTCAGTTCCGACTGAATGGTGGACAATGGAAGGATTTATATTTCTTGCAATCATCTGGTTGTTAGAACTCATTTCTGAGAGTCATTGAGGCCACTTGGAGGTTTATCTGTGCCCTCAGGATCTCCTGAATAGTTCCACACCATTTGCACTATTTAGGTAACCTTGAGGGCACTAGATTCCAATTCATTCAATTTTCTGGATAAAAATTTAATTTACAACTGGAACCTCAGTTGTTGCTAAATTGAGTTTTAAACCAGTCCATTTCTCTGACTAAGTCAGAAGACAGGGAAGGAAGTTTTTAAGAAACGGGACACAATGTGTCAGAATACTGTTGATTTAAAGATTTCATCAAATTTCTCCCAATGGACCACCTGTTTTTTCACTTAATGTTACTTTTTCTTTTAGTCCAGTAAGATGTAGGATGCTCAGTACTACTACCGAAATATTATTTCTGATATATCCTGAAACTATTGATTACTTTTGTCCTAGAAGTGTACATTCATAGTCAGACTTATAGAAATATACTTCATCATGCAGTTCCGGAATAAGGTTTTAATCATACAGTAGTATCTTGGATACACGAAGTTAATGTATGGAAGTCATGGTCTTTGATTGTGACTGAGCACTCATTAACAAATGGAATGATGCAATTTGTGACACAAATTATTTTTTAATTTTTCTTTTAATTAAAAGGTGGGTTTTTTTTTTACTTTATTCTCCCAGCCTTTTCCAGGTGATTGATAAAGGATAAGATTTCTGATGGAGGATTAAATAATACATTTCATTAATAGAGATGATCATTATCAGAGAGATTATTGTTTGACGTAAAAATACTGGAGATGTCAGAAAATAGTCTATGCTACTGTCCATGCCATTAGATATTTTTCACTGTAGTATCCTCCTATAAATGTACTGTATATACTTGTATATAAAACTCATCTGTGGATGACTCTCAAATTTTTAACCAAAATACCATAAAAATGCAATTAGCCGACATGCACTTTTCATAGTATTTTGCTTAATAATTTGAGGATTTATTTATACATGGATGGGTTTATATACAATTATATATATTCCATTATATGTGGGAAGTATTTAAAAAATATTTAAAGAAACTATTATCATGATCCACTTTCTATTATTGTACTGTATTTTATTGTATTTCACTGTATACTGTATTTCACTGTATTTATACTGTATTTCATTGTCCACCCAAGGCCTTCATTTCTATGGCATCCTGCTTGTAATCCACAGATCTGCATTAACATTAAATTGTTAAATCCCCATGATGATGTTAAAATTGCTTTTGATAACTTGCAATAAAATGGAACCACTTGTAACTTTAGGGACATTAAGGGAAAAGAGGATTGAAAACAAGGAAAGTCTGAGGAAAAAAACGTCTACAACAGATTTGCTGCCCCATCCTATTTGCTAAAAACAAAAAAAACCCACCCTCATCTGGTCAATTTCAAGACATTAGATTTTTTTCATAGTGGCGGAATACATTACGCGCCAGCTCTCCCCAGAGGCCGAGGTACCCGCATTACTCCAAGTTGCAGCTAAGGATAGAGTAGCCGTAATAGGATACCCAAATATTTCACATTGAAAGCCAAATCTGGCCCTAGGTTCTGCCTCAGTTTACCTTCTCAATAAGCAACTGAGGCGGAAGATTATTTAAAAGGAGTTTATTAGGGTACCCTCATAAAATGGGATCTCTCTCTGACAAAGGAGAACACCCCCCCCCAGCCCCACGTTTCTCTCTCTATAGTTTAACACAACAAAGAAAATGCAAAATGTTACAAGAGAGAAAATAAATCAAATTAAAATACAAAGTAACTATGTTACTTAACAAATTACAAAACCCATGTCATTTGCCTCTCACACGAATTAGTTTCTCAGACAAAAAGCCTGTTTCTCGGACTGCAGTGGCGCTGCAATTGAGGAACCTTAGCAGGAGATTCCAGAAAAAAATTAGCGCTGTGCAAATCCTCACGTAAACAAATCTCGTTAAGATGCATCGCTCCTCTGAAGCCTTCCAAATCCTAATTTCGATTTAACGAAGCCACGTTGTGTCGTAAAGCACTTGCGTAAAGATGCATTGCAACTTTTAGAAACATAATGCAAAGATAAAAAATATGACATCGGAATCAATCTCAACTTTGTGTCAGGGCTTCGCTGTTTCTATGACGAAATACCTTCACCGCCACACAGCAAACCTCCATGACCGTTCGGAAAGTTCCAAAGATGGAGGCGCCCGCGGCGAGGAATAAACTTCAAAATGGCGGCCGCCATGCGCTGGCATCCAAGATGGCCCCGCCCACGAGAGGGGGGAGCTAATTCCAAGATGGCGCCCTCTATAGTTCCGGTCACCTGCTAAGCGCGTTGCAACATGGCGGCCCGCGGAAGTCGGCTGCTGCTGGGTGGCGTCCGGCTATATAACGCCAAGCCGCTTAAGTTACAACTGAAGGGAATCTATCGGGCGGACCCTGCCGATCCCTGTACTCCGGCCTGGCAACTGACGCCCGAATATGAGGCCAAGCTGTTTGGGCGGCACGGGAAAGCCTCCGGGGTGGACCCGACCCGGTTGTGGCCGTCGCTGGAGAAGCTGCAGGAAATGGAAGCTGAGGAGAGAGCCTGGTACCCGTCCTTGAAAGAGATGCAGCAGTCGCTGGATGCCAAGGAGAGCGAGGCCGAAGCCAAGCAGCGACAGAAGTGAGGGAGGCAGAAGGAGGGAGGTTGCGGGTGGCCGCCTTTCGCGAGACCCGAGGGCAGCCACGCGGGGAAGCCTCTCCAGCGATGCAATTTCAGCCTTCGGGCTTTGCTGGGTCGTTTCAGAAGGGAAGGACTGTTCTTCACATAAATCCAATCCAGGATTTCTTAAACCTTTTGCTTCGGGAGGACCTCAAAAGATCTTTTGCTTTCAAGGGTTGTATTTCAACATAGGCTGGCAAATAATTTTGATTTCGCGGACCCCTGAGAAGATCTTCAGGAACCTCCCAGGCTCTGGAGCCACACTTTAAGAAACGCCGGTCTCATCAAAGGAGCTGTGTAAAATGCTTGGTTCCAGGGGCCCATTTGCCACTGAGCCAACAAACCATGCCACAAGGGAATGGCCCTTGAGTTGGCCTTACTTGAGGCCCAATTGCACACCCTTGGTTCCGAAACCCCATCAGAGAGGTTGTTGCAGAATAATGGGACTAAACAGAGGAAGGCCTCCTGCAGCAACACGAAATGAAAATTATATACCTCTGATACTCTTGGTGTGGGGATAAGGATTTGTGAGTTGCAAAGGGTGGATTAGCAGATCTCCCACAGCAGAGCAGCATCCATAAGCATTTGTTCAGTGTCCATCTTTTGGGCAATTATTTCTGCACCAACAGAAATCCTTTTGTTTTGGTTTTTTCATTTTGCATGTTTAAATGTCGTTTGCTTTGTAGATGTTTTTACTCTGGGTAATTTCAACAGTATTTGAAGGATGCTGGTAGAGCTGTCCTCAGAGGCATTATTTGGTGTACCATGAGTTTGAAGCAAAACACCTGATAAAATTTAGAGCAAACAATCTTTGTATTAATAAAAATTAAGCAAAACTGAGATTGCCATGCTATGGTTTAGTGTTGCTGCTCTTGTCTGGTAGATCAGATCCAGAGCAACATGCTGGAGGATTGGTTTGCTTAGGCAACTTCTTCTCAGGTGCTGTCTGAGTTTTTATTCTTCCCTCTCATGAAGTGGTGGAAGTGCCAAATGAATCAGGGCATGGTATAGTAATCTAGACAAAATGAAAGTAGTATTGATAGATGACTTTTTTTGTAGAGCAGTGTTTCTCAACCTTGACAAACAAGAAGTGTAGATTTTAAATCCCAGCTGGCTAGGGACTTCTGGGAGTTGAAATTCACACATCTTAAAGTTGAAAAATACTGCTGTAGAGAAATATGATATTCTATATGAAATTGCAGGCTCTTTTAAGGAGCACATTTGCAATTTGAGTAACATGCTCATGTTAGATGGCAGGTAAAATGGCATTTATGTGAAGTTTCCACTGATTGTAACTTTGGGATTTTTTTACACTACTTTGAGGACTCAAGTGGCATAAAATGCAATTTGTAAATTGCTGGTTTAACAGGTTAAATTGAGCACCTCTCAATATTTTAGATCAGTGTCATGGTATCTCTATGAACACTATCCAAAATGAATATTTTAAATTGTAAAGCTATAATAGACTTGGGTGTTAGAATAACTATTTAGTATGAACCTATTCACCCATTAAAGTGAAAATGCTGAAAATAAATTGAAAACATACTTTCTATGTCTAGAGCTGTATAATGTTTTGTTTCATAGTTTTGTCTTTTGCTTTATAGAGAGGAGGCAATTGCTGCCAAAATGGCCAAAATGCCACAGATGATAGAAAACTGGCAGAAGGAAAAAGAGAAACGCAAGCTCAAAGAACAACAAGAAAAAGAACGACGGCGGTTGTTACTGGCTGAGGCCCGGGAACAATATGGCTATCACCTGGATCATCACAGTGCTGAATTCCAAGAGATGGTGTTAGAAAGAGAGAAGATTAAACGGATGGAGCAGAAGGAGGAGAAAAAACGTATGAGGGGGATTCTGGCCAAAAAAGCAATGGAAAGCAAAATTCTTTCCTCAACTCCAGATAACAAGGAGGAGATGGCTGAACAAAAGGATACCTAAAATACTGTATTATCAGTCTTTGAAATAAATCTGCCTACAGATTGTGACATGTAATTCTCAGAGGCCCAATCAATTTACTGCACTTCTCATCATGCATTAAAGGCCAACTTAGAATTCTTATGGAATGTGGAATGCTTCACTGTATAGAACAATCTAAAGTCCTTTCTCTGCTCTGCCGTGACCATTTGGAACTTCAACAATAGATTTTTTAATAGCAAATGCATTCTCTGAATTTCTCTTCTCTCTCAAAAAAGCAAGTTCTGTTTGCACCATGTAGCTCAGGGGTCCCCAACCCTCGGGCCACTATTGGGCCATTGCCTATTCAAAACAGGGCTGTGAAGCCGCTTACTCCCAATGCTCCAAAAGTGGAACAGTGGGAGCAGAAGCTGAGTGGGACGAACATGCCCTGCTCAGCGTTTTTGACTCACCAAGGCTGCCTGCGCAGGGCACCCGATCTGCTTTTCAAATATCGGGCAGCCTCCATGAGTCTGAAGGAGCATGAGACTGTGCTCCCACAGGCTTCTATTCTCTGCGCCAAAAGCTTTTGCGAAGCTTCGGGAGAGCAGTCTCGTGCTGTTTCAAGCCTTCTGTCCCTTTGCAAAAGCTTTTGGCATGGAGAAGCCTGAAGGAAACAGTGCTCCAAAGGCTTCTTTTCTCTCTTGTGTGAGTGGAGCTGCATGTGTGCATGCCAGCACACTGCTTGTGCAGCCTGGTTCCCCCCTACCCCTACCACCCCCACCAGCCCCCACCAAGTCAGACTGCAAAGTTTGGGAACTACTGAGCTGATTGCCATATTCAATTTGTTGAATAAATATAGCTGGAATTTTAAGTAAAAAAATATTTACTTTTAATCAAATGGCAGGATGTGGTTAAATACACACACACACACACACACACACACATTAGGCATCTAAAAATAAGTCAGGTTGTGTAAAGATAATGGAGTCCACTGACTATAGGGGCTGGCACTCATCTCCATTTCAAGGTCATTGAGCCTGCGCTGTCCAAAGACATTTCTGTGGTCATGTGGGCAGCATGACATAACCATCCTACCAAAGTGGTACCTATTTTCTCACATTTGTATGCTTTCGAACTGCTAGCTTGGCAGGAGCTAGGGCAAGGATGGGAGCCGCCTCCACAATGCTCAGGTGTCAAAACTGGGCTGTTGGCTTTCCAGCTGAGAAACCCAGTGTCTTAATCACTGAGCCATAGCACCACCCTAAATGATTATTGCCTAGAATTTTGGCTGGATGTTGTTTGGTACATTTCCTAATGGTAACATTACTAAATTTAACTTGAAACATTGTCATCAGTAATAGCCACAAAGGAGGAATGTCTCTGACATTATTCCTTCAGCCTCTTGTTAAAGGTAAAAGAATGTAAAGTATTGAATCTACTATAGTTGTATATGGCGACAAAAATATCAGATGAATGGGCCAAGCAATAAACTTGATATTTTTCCCATTCCTTGATCAAGTTCACTCTTCTCAGTGTGTGTAGGATTCACACTAAGGATGTACGTAAATAGACATGGACTTGTTCTATGAAAGTCTGCTCTGAATTTTGGCATATTTGCCCTGCTCCATTCACAATTCTATACCAGCCTTTCAGCATTATACCTTTATTTGGCTGAATTCATGTTGAGAATCTGGATTGAATGCCATTACGCTTCCTGCAGCATTCTATACAGCTGGGATAATTGAGCCCATCAAATAAGATGGATTTGCTGCATCCAAGCAAAACAATTATTTTGGCTTGATGCCTCCATCTTTTACAGATGTTCATCGGTTTTAAATTTTTCCTTACAATAATTATGAAAGGGACAATCCACCAAAACTGAAAAAAAAAAGGGGGGGTTATCCACTGAACACTTTTTGCACTAAATAGCTGTGCCTGAGCAGAGGAATTTTGAAAACACTGTATACATAACCCATTCAGCCTTAACCCCCCTATGCACACTGTAGCTGAAGGAGAGGCTGATGCTTAGTGTGGCATTGTGTAAAAAGCAAGATGGTAGGCTGCCTTCACTACAAACTGGTTAGCTGAGAAGATTTTTAGTCCAGGTACACAGTGGCAGATTGAAAAAGATTTGTATCAGTACCTGTAATTTAATACTCTGGTTCCCTCTAGTGGTAAAACTAGCGCAAACTCATTCAATCTCGGAACAGCTTTTATTTTGATAGTGCTCCTAATGAGTGTATTAAAAGTAGGGAACCAAAGAGAAACTATTCAAAGTAGATCAAAGTTCTTGCCATCTAACAATATTTTAAATAAAAGGTTTGTTTTTTTCTTTTGTGATTAATTAGGTCCTCAAAATGGCACATACCTGCAGAATCATTTAAAGGTCTCTTGGGGTCCTTATTTTGTACAGGATTTTGGGAAACTGATGGTGATACTAGTTCAAATCTAAATGACATATATTCTCCAACCTACTGTTGCTATTTCCTTTGGAAGAACTATTGATACAATGCATATGAACAATTATTTAGAGGAAGCTTGTTTTGTGTATTTATAAATAATCCTTTGTTTTAAAGGAAATATTACAAATGAAAGGTAGTGAATACATAGCTTAACTCATAGCTTTCGTTAAGCATGAAGCAAATGTATTTAAGATTAATCAGTACTAGAACCAAGATTCTTCTCATTACTAAATTATATTCATTTTTCAAATTATAATTCAAAAATATTTTTGAGCTATGAATTTTCACATGCTTTATTTTGCTATTTCTTATTTTGATGGAAGCAGTATTTTGTGTGCCTCTGTTTTCTTACATGGTGTATTGTCATAGCTTCTTACTATTATATCATGGAAAGTAGTAATTTACAGTAATTTGTAATCAGCTTGCAGTAAATTAGGTCTGAATTCCCTGTTCCTCGTGACAATTGGATTGAGATGTCTGTAAAAATACTGTATATGTAAATGGCTGCATCATCCTGAAGATAAGGATTAACTGGGCTCATCTTTGGCTGGTGCTATTCAACCTCAACCTACAGGATGGACTGAAAAAGGTAATCAGATTTGCAGATGAAACAAGCTGGAAGGAATGGCTAATACTTCATAGCAATCTTAGCTACTTTAAGATATCTGGACATCTTAAAGACACCAAGGTTGAGAAACATGGATTAGGATGAAACTGACCAGGTTTGTGTGTGGGACAATGCCAGCAGAGTGATATTGGGCAATGACAAATACACCGCCTTGTATGGGAGTAGGAAAATTCATATAGAAAAGGGTACAGGAATAATGACAGGGATAATTAGATATACTACTGTGTCATCAACTGAACCTGAGTAAGCAATGTGAGACAGCATCTAAAAGGGCAAATGCAATCTTCAGCTACATTAATAGAAGCATCCAGATCACAGGACGTAATCATTTCATTGTAGTCTCTGCTGGCCAGACCACTTGGGGTATTGTGTCCTGTTTTGAGGATCCACTTTGAGATGTTGGTTTAAGGTTAGACAAAAGCTATCAAGATGTTAACGGATCTGTAAACCAAGCACTTCATGCAATGCCTGGGCATGTTTTGTTCACAAAGGAGAAAAATGATATAATAATCAACCAATCCAAAAAGCTGTTGTGCAAGAGTGGGTCAATGTGTTCTCTGATGAAGGTGAGAGCAAGACAAGAGTCAGTAAATTAAAAAGAAAAGGCTGAATATTAGAAGTAATTTCACGATGCCCAGCGCTATTAAGCAGTGCTTAATTCTCCCTTGCTGGAAGTTTTCAAATGAGGATTGGATTGTCACTTGTCAGAGCAGTTTAGAGGATTCCAGGACTAGATCCAACCCCTGGACTGGATGATCTTTGAAATAATATTTACTCCTGGCAACTTCATGGACAGGTCCATGCAGTTTTCTTGGCAACATTACAGAAGTGATTGGTCATTGCTGCCTTCTAGAATATTTTAACTTTCCAGTTAAAATATCCCAGAACTGAGAGTCATTGACTCAAGATCATCCAGCTAGTTTCTGTGCCTAAGCGGGGCCTAGAACCTGGGTCTTACTGCTATTTGTCTAGCACTCTAAACACTGGGTCACCTTGGTTTTCAAGGTGGTTTATAAGATCCCATGCACTCATACTTCTATTATTTTTATTATTCCTTTAGGAGCATAATGATGAAACATGACAAAGAACCAACACCAAAGGATAACTCAAGTAACAATAAAGATAAGTGTTTTAGCAATAAATCTACAACACAACAGAAGTAGAATTGATTTCATTTATATTCAGTCATTGAAGAATATGCCAAATTCTATATTTACATATTTTCAAATGTGCTTTTCTGTGCCTAATTATGTTAATATGCTCACATTATGTGATATAACATTATCTAATTGAAGTTTGCTCTTAGATTGGACAAGAATTAATATGATCCACATTGGGCAAACAAATCTTATGTTTAATGTATTTGGAGGTAATCATGCAAGTCAGGGTTTCCCCAAAGGTGCTTTTCTAAAAGGCAACTGGACTTCCTTGGTTTTTGGAAAACATTTTGCTTCTCATCCAAGAAGCTTCTTCAATTCTGTAGTTCAGGAAAAAAAAACCAAGAAAGGCCAGTTGCTTTTTGGAAAAGCACATTTGGGACAAATCTTATGCTATAATGTTTCAGGAACACATGAAATGTATTGGTCAGTAGGATTAACCCACATCCTATCTTCAGAATGTCATTTGATTCTATTTTGGCTAATAAATGAACTGTTAACTGTTTCTGTTACTAGATGTAAGTGCTACTGTAGCAAGAACTGACAATTTAAATACCACTTAACATAATAGACTTTACTCATTCCATGAAAATTGTTCTTAGGAAAAGGAATACTAACAACAAAGGTAAGGGAAGCCAGAAGAGCAAGTAAAAACAATGAAAGATAGTATGTTCAAATGTCCTGACCACACAATAAAAGAAGAGATGCCAAAATGTCCCCTTTTTGCCTTTCCATCATTGTTAATGCTAATTACACCAAATATAATTTTAAAATAAGGACTGCAAACAAGTACAACAAAAACCACATCGGCTTATTGGCTTAACTGTATGTCTAATAAGCAAGTCCTGAGTAATAGTATGGCAAGAAGTGTCCTGGGTGGATGAGACAACCAACAAAGGCATTGAAACTGCTTTT